CGGCTTGGTAACATATCACCATGATTCTACCGTTCTACTCTCTCAGATTCAAAACCTTAATCATCTTTGCATCTTCACTCTCCCTTCTCCTTCACATCCAACCAGTCAGTCATCATGAACTATGGCTTCCCCTGCTCCAGGGCTGCCCCCTCTGTCTACTCCACTTGCCACTTCTTTTATCCTGGCTATCATTTATGCTAGGACTAATACCACAGACTCCTTTAAGTCCTCTTTCACACTCTAATTCCTCCCAAAATCTGCTGGTAGAGGAAGTGCTCAAAAAACCCAGCTGTGACGGAGTCTCTGGTATTCCAAGGCTCCTTGTACCAAGAACAGAGTCCCAATTCCTAAGCGTGGCATCCAGGCACTCCCACGACTTGGCTCCCATTTGCCTTTCCAAACTTATCCCATGCTATGCCTCTTCACGAGCCTTCCCCTCTACGTGAAGTGAACTGACTGTTCATTATGTCCCGGGCACAGTCCATTTTTCCCTTTTGCTGTGTCTCTGTTCACACTGTTACCCATTGCCACAAGGTCAAAGCAATAAAAGCCCATGTCAAATGCCATCATTTCCTTGAAGGCTTCCCTGATTTTTCCATCAAATTCATTCTGTTAGTATATCTTTTATGGCACATATAAAATTCTACTTTACATTTTATTGAAGCAAATGTCTTTAACATCTCAGACTGTAAGCTGCTTGAAGGTAGTATAGAGTAGTAAGCAAAGGCTGGGCTCCAGAGTCAGACACACTGGATTAAAACCCAGTCTCCACTTACTAGATGTGATCTTTGGGCAAGTTACTAAATCTCTCTAGGTCTGTTTCCTCAACTATAAAATGGGAATAATAGCATTTATATATACATTGATGGTAAATAATGTCTGTAAAGTGATAAACGGTGCCTGGCATATCAAAAGGATGTACTAAATGTTAGCTACTATTTTTATCATCCTTATGAATGCTAACGGGAAAGTATCTTTTTTATTTCTGTATCCCCGACAGGGTCTCAAAGAGAGAGACCCCAATAACAGTTTATTGAATGACAAACTTTAGACCTCAAAATTGCATCCTTTAATTACCCGTGATTCTTACCTAAGCTGAAACAGTCTCTCCTTCCCACCCCCCACCCCCAACCCCCAACTTACCTGGTGTAAAATGGTGTATCGTTCACGAAACAGTTCTGCTTTATCTCTTGCTGTTCCAAATAAATTTGGTGCAGGGTGGTTGGTCAGTAATAGACTAGAGAAAAAAGAATGCCTATTGACAACTATCATAGCACACAAAGGTAGGGCAAAAATGAAATGAGACTATAAACCTTCTGAAAAAAAATGTACATTTAAAATTAGCTTAAAATCAATAGATGGAATACTTACGGAAGAAATTTTTTTCTTTCTGAATTGTACACAAAGCGTGGAATATCAAATGCTCCTATGATATTGAAAATATGTTCTCTGAAAAACATCCCACAAAAACATAGACCTGATTTACTAAAATGGAAGTATCTAGATGAACATGAAAGCTTGCATTATCATCTTATGTTGCACATATATATTTTTTACAGGTTATATATACAACGTCTTATAGTGTCAAAAATAATACAGCAGTCAGATTTTTAGCTTGTGCATTTTTCTCTAGACACAAGAAAGCATTGCTAATATTCTCAAGCAAAAAAAAAAATTTATTGAAGTTAACTTCTAATTAGGAGTGTCATGTGTTGAAAAAGAACATTCACATATAAAATAGTCACATCTGAGAGAAATCTCTCCCCATATATACTACTTTTATTAGCTACAATATTAAAGGATATGATTCATTTCCCACAATTTTTTATTCCAAAATATTATGTAAAAGTGTCCCAGAAAAAGATGTAAACTAGAAAAAAAGTCCCCCAAATTCTGGCCATATCCAATACTTAGTGTTAGAGAAGGACTATCAACAAAACAATTTTACTTTCAGATACTGTTAGTAATGTAGCTACATTTGAAAGAGGTTTAAAAAGAATTCACAGCGCTATTGCATAAATTTCCAACCAAAAAAATCTTCCCTAAAATTTTATCTGTTTATCTCCGNCAATGATGGTGCCAACTTGGGCCAGTGAAGCAACGTCCTTCAAAACTAGACTGAAGAACAAAACAACAGCAACTTGTCTGTTCCCCTTCCCACAATGCCCCAATAAAAATCTTTAAAAAAAATAATAATGTGTATATATTTTTTTTGGTACCCCAGTATATATAAGAAAACACACAGATGTCTTTACTGGGGAATATAAGTAATCTCAATTTCTAAAACTTAATATAATTTTTTCTCTTAATAAAAGCTAAAAGCAGACAGTGTCAAACACTATAAATGTCTTCTCCTTATTTTGCTGTCATCGAACTTAATTTGAGCATTACCTGGTATTACTGTTTTGGTATCTGTCAGGCTACTTAGCATCATGAGTTCTAATCTAACATGGCAGAGAATCTGATGAAGCTTCCCAGAGGCTGGGCCTCTTCAGGACCTGTTTGGAATCTTGCAGAAATGGTGGGGCCAAGACAGAAGTGGCTAACGGCTATCCCCCAGCAGGGTTCTGTGCACTAGAGAGGGGAACAAAACCACAGATGGACTGATAGTGACTAGGTGTGTTGCTGGAACAAAAGTGACAGTGCTGCCTGGTAATCCCTTTCCAAGGCATAAGAGCATAACAGTGGAAGGAGCACACGTGAAGGAAAACGTTCTCCTTCTCACCACGCTCCTCGGGTCCCAGCAGCCCTGGGGCCTGTCTGTGCTCTCTCACTGATGCTCTAAACACTGTTTCCTTAGTGCTTTAAGTAAAGTTTTCACTCCAGCGGTGATAGCACATTGTAGCTGAACAAGTGAGTGGTGGTCAGTGGAGGGCTGGGCTGGGCAAGGACCAGTATTGTGGAGTGTGGGGAGGGCAGGAAGGGTAATGCTGAGAGTGGGTCAGAAAGCCAGGGTAGCACATAGCAAATGGGCCAGACTAGGAATATGTCATGGTGGCCACAGTCTACATGGGGGCTACAGTCTCAGGTTCTGCCCCAAGGAAGGACATAGTTGCCTTTATTAGAGATTTGTAAGACCCAGGACACATGGCATGGACTTTATCAACATGGACATGCACAGGTCAATTAGCTAATATTACTAGTGATTCATTTTCATTTAACACTCAATAAATTAGAAAAAGCAATAAATATTAAACTTGTATACTTAAACACCCTAAATAACTAGGATAATGTTCTCACCTGAAATTTGCTTCCACTTTCATCAGGGTGAGAACCTATCACTGGAGGGGTAAATAATTCATGTCTGTGAGTCCTCTACAAAAAAGGAAGATTCCCATAAGTTACTGAAGCAGACATTTAAAATTTAGATTCATTAAAATAGTATTTGAGCATTATCTGGTATTATTGTTTTAGTATCTGTCAGACTACTTAGCATCGTGAATTCTGATCTAACATGGCAGAGAATTTAATGAACCTTACAAAAGGCTGGGCCTCTTCAGAACTTTTTGACAAAACAGTCCTTAAACTAATATTTCTATTATTTATTCTCAACAAATTTGAAAACCCACATAACTTAATGTACAAATATCTAGAAATATAATTTTAAAAACAAAATTATTTTTACAAAATTATTTTAATGGTCTACTGTGTACCTGGCAGCAGCAAACTCTGGCCTAAGGATATGAAGACAACACCAAGTTGTCATTCTCAGAGCACAGGACTAGTGAGAGGAAAGTGCCAACAGGACACAATACAGCAAAGGACCCCGGGCAGACAGGGCCATTTAAGAAGGCCTTAAATGATAAAAAAGACTTTACCAGTAAGAAACAAAGGAGCTGTTGGGCCGGCCGAGTGGCGCGATGGTTAAGAGCTGGCTTGGGACGCCAGAGGGCCCCGGTTCGGATCCCACATATGAGGGCCAGTGACACTGCNAAAAAAAAAAAAGTGAGTTGGCATGATGAAGGCTTGTGTTCCCTTTAGCATGACAAACACTTTCCCTAGATTACTTCAGCAGGGAGGGGAGTTTCCCTGCAACGGCTGCCCTTCCAGTGACCCCCGGCCGGGAAACACGGCCTCTGCACTTGAGTTTACACAGGTATCTAGGAATAAATCTGAATCCTTACGCTTCTTAAAATAGTCACCATTATCATAGAATCTCAGGTTTAGAAAGCAACTTTACTTCCCCCAGAGGTAGCAAACTCAAATGCTTCCAGGCTTCAGGAAGGAAACACTGGATATCAAAGTAGCAGGAACAGCTGAGGCTGACTAGGTATGAGCTAGGGTGCACACAAGTGCCTGGCCCAAAGTGGGCAGTCACTACTGCAGATCTGTAGCCAGGTGGGAATTCAGGCACCACGTTGCCATATCTAATAGTTCAAAAGAACTCAGAAGTCTAGACTTTTATGACAAATCTATTTTTAAATGTGGGAAACTAACTCAAAATGTGTTTTAATACCTCAAAGGGGGAGAAAAGGTCTGTAGACTACATTCAACCCACAACGCACCAGCAACAACTTTTACACCATCATTCAGCCTATACTCAAATATCCTGACTGATAGGGAAGTCACTCCTCTCAGAATAGCTTTAATATTATGATGCTTCCACTTATATTAAAGAGCTATAGAATCTGCCTCTTGTAACTTTCATTAGAATACAAAAATAAGAACTTTATATTAATATAGGAATTATATTCTTCTAATTGTTTTCCTGTCTCTTATCTCAGTTGAACTTATCAATACTACGTACACAAGTAAGACAGGTAAACTGGAAATCTTTTCCGATTAAAGCCAAAGTACAGAGATGCTATTGCAATGAATCTGGAGTCTATCCACTAGTTTTCAGGTACATAAAATGCTCAGCTTTTTAACTCTCATTTGCTCCCTGCATTCTGACATAAAGCCTGAGACCTTATAATAACTGAGATATGATATACTATCTTAAAATCATTACTGTCAGTATTACAAGATTCCTAGAGAGTTTAAGTTGAACATTTTTATACCTAGTTGTACTAGAAGATTCAGTGGGTGGAAATCCAAAGGCATTGACATGAAACACTTGATCTTCAAACCAACCTGAAAAAACATAAGTAACAAGTCCCTTTCATTTGTCCAGTCTCCTTGTTTGAAAGGACAAAACTATGAACACAAAGCAGTAATGCTAGGCTATCAACTCATCCAGTCAACTAACTACAGAAGTTACCAGTCCCACTAAGCTGCATAACAACTTCAGATTCAGAGATAGTCCCAGTTATATTTTTCAAAAAGCCTCATGAAATAGAAATACATTTATAAGTAAAACGTTTCACATTTTTATTTCACAATACACGTTTCAGTATGGAGAGATAAAGTACACAGATTAGGAAATGTTTCATTTTTATGACCCTATGTAAATTTTTTTTTACTTTATTGAGCTGTAATTCACATATTACACAATTCACCCTTTAAAAGTATATAATTCAGTGGTTTTTAGTATATTCACAAGTTGTACGACCATTACCACTAATTTCAAAATATTTTCATCACCCCCCAAATAAACCCATGCCTATTAGCAGTCTGAGAGTTACTTAATGTCAAAGGTATGCTCTCATAATCAACATTCTCCCAAATTATACCACGTTAACATATCCAGTGGAGAAACGGTTTTACTGTAAAATGATGAGGACAGGAAAAAAGTGTACTGACTTACCTTCTGCTAAGACGAAGCATGATTCTGTGTATAAACCACTATGGAACTGGTATACAACAGTTGAGGAAAATAATTTCATTCCTACGCTTGTGGTAGTGAAAAAGTCAACATCCATTTTGGACCCAAAAGGATTTCTAAATAATAAATTCAAAGACTTCACATTTGAAACTGTGAATAGATCACAGTTTAAAATTTTTTAGGTTTAAACATCCTCATGTCAGATTCTAAGATGTAGCCTTGTAATACTGACAGAATTGATCATTCTTATTGATAAACTTCCTCAGTGATTTGTCTGGATTCTCCAAATAAGGGGAATTAAAGCTTTTTATGGTCTCTATTTAAGATTATGTCTCTAAATTCCTACACCACCAGCACATGGAAGTTACATTGGGAACCGAAACAGCTAAACTTGAGAATGATATATAATCAATTTCCCTAACTCATAGATTAAAAAAATAAAAGTGAAGGATATAGAGTTAAGAAAATAAAGGTGAAGGATATTGCTTTACTAAGATCCAGTTGTACCGTTCCTGTAGGATCTTCCAGAAAAAATTTTCCCTAAAAATAAAAAGAAATATGCCCACATTTATGTAAAAATGAATATTATGACAAAATAATTAATACACTTACAATTCTGACAACAGAATATAGTGGAGCAGTACATTTTTAAAAATCAACAATTCCTAGTCTAGGCTTTTCTACTTACTAGTCTTGTGACCGCAGACTAATCACTTAATGGAGACTCTGACTCCTAGTTCCCTGAAGAATGACCTCTGAAGATCAAGAGATGGCAAGAGGGACACTTGTGGGCTGCCATAAGGGCCTCACAGGGTGCCCTCACTTCTGAGAGTCTAGAGCATCTCCAAGGGACCAGGATGTGGTCTGCAGCTTTGCTTGTTAAGAAACTCCATGCTCTCAGTTCAACCAGGAGTCATTGGGGGACTACTTTCAGACTATGCAAACTGCCTATATAAGAACCCCTTCCTGATGTCTCTGCTCAGGAAACCAAACAGATGAAAAGGTTACTTGGTGACTGAGGTAAGAGCCTTCGTGAAGTCTATGTCCTTGTACCCTCTGTAGAAATGCTATCTGTAACCAACATTTCACCAATCTGCAGGCTGCAAATAAGTTTGATGCTTATTAACTTACCTCTTTTAACTGTGTTATCATTCCAAGAACAATCACATCTCCAATTTTGGTTGTACTGCCCAATAGGGTTTCTATTGTTTTAAGCTAAAGTAAAACAAAATAAATTCTTACAGACTAAAAATACATTCTTTGAAGACACTAACTTTTTTATAAATAAGTTTCGAGTGCACATTTCAGTATTTATACCTACTTTACAGTAGAAAATAAAAACTTAGGAAATATAATTTTATCCTATAAAAAAGCTAAATAGAATTGCTTGGATGAAAGGATATAAAATTTTTCATTTTTATAGGAATTACCAGGTAGAGCTTCTTTTACCATTACCCCATAATGGCTTTTATTACAAAGAATACATGTGTACTATAGAAAAAAATTTTTTACCATAGAGAAGGAAGAAATAAAGACATGTAATCCCATAATCCCATGATAGTTACTGTTAACATTTGATACAGGAGTTCCTCTTAAAAAATAAGAACCTAAAGCAACACAGGAGTATAATGTATATTCAAAATAGTTTTTAAAAAATGAAATACTATAGGATTAATCTGAAGAAAAAGATATGCAAGACCTGTATCCTAAAAACTGTATTAGGCAAAGATTTCTTAGAAAAAATACCAAAAATATGATCCATTAAAAAAATTGTTTGTGGGCGGCCAGGTGGCTCAGTTGGTTAGAGCGCGTGCTCTGAACAACAAGGTTGCAGGTTCAATTCCTACATGGGATGGTGGGCTGCGCCTGCCCACCATCCCCCCCTCCTCCGCAACTAAATTGAAAATGACGACTGGACTTGGAGCTGAGCTGCGTCCTCCACAACTAGATTGAAGGACAATGATTTGACTTGGAGCTGATGAGTCCTGGAAAAAACACAGTGTTACTCAACAAAAAAAATTTTTTTAATTGTTTTTTGAACTTCAACAAAATTAAGAACTTGTGCTCTTCAAAACGACAGTTAAGAGAATAAAAAGACAATTTACAGACTGGGAAAATACTGCAAATCACATAAAATCAATCAATCAAGCAACATAGGAATACAAAGTTCTACGAAAGGATTCCCAAGGACACCATTTTTGCAGTCTGTAAAGGGAAATCACCATACTACAAGTTCAAATAGTGAGTATGCCATCAAGGACAAAGAATTAAATGGCTTGGAAAGACTGAAAAGAACAATACATTATTTAGCTAAGCCTGAAAATTACTTTGACATAGAGGAGTGGAGAAATAATGCTTCCAGACTGTGGCCATATGAGTTGCCATAGGAAACCCAATACACAGAGGATGCCAAAAAACTGTATACACATTTTAAGAAAGGAAAAAATTGTATTTATACCGGTAACAAAAGATGAATACAAGTCATATTTTACTTTTGCAATTACAAGAGGTGCTCAAAGTGGTTATCATCAGCATCCAGACACTTCTGATTACGGTGAACTACTGCTTGAGCAACACTGACCAAAGTGTTAACGTCTTTTAAAATGTGTATATAGGGCCGGCCAAGTGGCGCGATGGTTAAGAACTGGCTTGGAATGCCAGAGGGCCCTGGTTCGGATCCCACATATGAGGGCCAGTGACANAGGGGAACAGACAAGTTGCTGTCGTTTTGTTCTTCAGTCTAGTTGTGGAGGACGTTGCTTCACTGGCCCAAGCTGGCACCATCATTGTGCTCTTCCTGGGTGAGGCAGAGCAGTCTCCGGCCTCTTGTCGGCCGCTCACTCTGGCTGCTGGCTGCCGGCTACACACAGTAGCTTATGGCAACCCACTGCCACAGGGGCTGCAGCCTACGCCTTCGCCGGCAACCCATGGCAGCCAAGCCCCAGGTCGAGCTGCCGTTTACCATCTTAGCTGCAGAGGGCAGTGTCACTGGACCTCATATGTGGATTCTGAACCGGGGTCCCAAGACAGTTCTTAACCAACGCGCCACTCAGCCGGCCCCCTGCTCATCATTTAACACTCAGTTCAAACCATTTCTTCAATAAAGCCCTTCCTTGACTCTAGAGCCATTTATACACCTGGTTATACACTGTCATAGCACTTCTTTCCTCGAATATTTTTCACAATTCAAGTTAAATAATTGTGAATTATTTAATATCCATGGTAGATAAACTTCTAAGATGGCCCCTAACAATCCATGCCTCCGGATATTCATATCGACATGCAATACCCTCCCCTTGAGTGTGGGCTGGACTTAGTGACTTTCTTCTAACAACAGAATGCAGCAAAAATGAAAGCATATTTTACTGTATTGTAATTTTAAAAGTAAAACGTTATAAATGGCAAGATGCCACCTCCATGATTAGGTTACAAAAGACTATGACTTCCACCTTGCTAGCAGACTCTCTCTTGCTGGGTTTGGCGAAGCAAGCTGCCATGTTAGGGAGGCCCAAATGTCAAGGAACTGAGGGTGGCCTCCAGCCAATAGCCAGCAAGGACCGAGGCCCTCAGTCCAGCAATCCAGCAATTTGAAATACTGCCAATGAATAAGCATTGAAGCAAATCTTATCCAATTGATACTTGAAATGACCTCATCTTGACTGCAGCTTGTGAGACACCTGAAATTGAGGACCCAGCTAAGCCTACCCAAAATGTGAGAAAATAAGTGTGTGCTGTTTTAAACTACTAAGTTTGGGGGTAGTTTGTTATGCAGCAATAAATAACACACTATCTGCCCCCCAAGCTCCACAGTGTGTTACTCTCTCCCACTCCCTTTCCCCAGCACAGTGCCTTGCAGATAATAGATTTCAATGTATTTGATTGAATTAATTTAATAAATGACAGCTTTATATTAGGTCAAATTCTAAGTGAAGAGAAAGAGTAGTTGATCAATTGATCATATTTTCAAAATGTCTGGGATCAACTTAACAAAATTCATTATTTTCTCCCAGAGCATATCCTCTCTTGCCCTTGTTCACCCAAAAGCAAAGTTAAAAGTCCCATAAAACTCTTCACGGGCCGGCCGAGTGGCACGATGGTTAAGAACTGGCTTGGGATGCCAGAGGGCCCCGGTTCGGATCCCACATAGGAGGGCCAGTGACACTGCCCTCTACAGCTAAGATGCTGAACAACAGCTCAACCTGGAGCTGGGCTGCCCTGAGTCGCCGGCGACGGCGTGGGCT